TCCTGATTATGCCTGGCGGAGGCAGAGCTGGTCATAGCTGGCAGCTAGCTGACGGAAACGCAGGACAAATAAAAAAAATTTGGAGAAGCGGGTGGATAAGTTGGAAACACTGTTTTGTCCCTCTTTGTATAAGGAGACGTGCTTCGCCTTTGTGGCCTTGGTTTGCCGTTAACTAATGGGAGATAGTTGCCGTGGCCAGGAATGATTCTTTGCATTTTTAGACTGGTGGCTGTTTCTTTTGTAGGCAGAGTTTATCATCCATCATCGGAAGAGTTCATGGAGCTACTCTAAATATTAGCCTAGCAACTGAAATTGAGGGAGAAGCCCATCAGCTCGTAGCTGGGAGGTGGGAGGGACGGCTGCAGCCCTGGCTGCTGATACCTGGTCCTGCAGAGGCTGACTCCTGAAGAAAGCATGAAGGCTTGGCTTCGGCTTAAAGTCACGGGGCTGTGGCTATTCTGCTTCAGGCATAGTTGCCCATCCCTGTTCGGTGTTGTCCATCCAGTGTGGTCTTACTGCATCTTTGTTGCTGACAGGAAAACCAGGAGTAGGGGTAGGAGAAGCAGGAGGAGTGGTGGTGGTTGGCAGCCTGGTGTTCCCTGTGGGGGCATTCAGTTTTGCAATGAGCCTCTTGGATTCTTGACAGGTCAGGTCTGTTGACCCTTCTGGGCACGCTATGGTGAGTGTTTAGTTATTTACTAAAGCCTTTTGAAATGAAAGTGGCTTGATGGGGTCTGAGGCTTTTGTGTTATGGAGAGTTGTGTGAGAATCTTTGCTGGGGTTAGCTATTAGCTGATTGTTTAATTATTTGGCTCTGTAACTAAGTAACTAAATGCCTTAAGCCTTAAGATAAGCAGCTCTTTGTTAACATTTTAATAAATGGAGGCAAATAATAATAATTTAAAACCTAAGGAAGTAAAAATCTCTCATTTCAGTGACCGAATCTTGAATAGAAGCATGATGTGGAATATAATTGCATATCTCATCATAATCTGAAATAGCACATTCAGAATGTCCCCAGTCCTCTATTGTGGTCACGGCTTTTATACAAACAGTGTTTACTCCATTTGATGGCTGGGTGGCATAAACTGTGCTGCGAGACTGTATGAGCAGGCAAAGAAAAAGTTCACGTCTGTTTATTTAACAGCAGCTTGGTCTTGCATGGTGGTATTGTTTAATAGCTACACCTATAAAGTTAAAATACATTGTGTGCACTGCTCTCACAAATAAGGACGTAGCTGAGAGCAGACAACAGCAGAAGAAACACGCCCGCCCTTGTCCCCCAGTGTTTAAGAACACCACCAGGAATTTTACACATGCCTTTGTTGCTTGTTTGTTTTTTAAGGGGTGATTGATAGACAGGCGTTATTCACGTCAGGTAAAGCACCTTTGCAATAGGAACCCCTGCCACAATTATAGGATTTGCAGGCAAACTTGCTTAGAAAGGAAGGAATCCCCTGCCGCCTTCCTGCAGCCGTGCAGGGCTTGCCTGGCAAAGGGCTGATTTACAGGCTGACAGGGATGGCTGAAGGCGACAGGCTCAAGGCAGAGCTTCGGAGAGGGCTGAAGGAGCATGGACGTGATACCAGATCATGAAGCCTTGCTTGCTGCTGCAGGCTCTGCAGGGCTCAGTCCTCCTTCTCCTGTGTAGCTGTTTCACCAAGGGAGAATTTGGCAAGCCTTGCTTGGTGCTGCAGGCTCTGCAGGGCTCACTCCTCCTTCTCCCGTGTAGCTGTTTCACCAAGGGAGAATTTGGGAGGATGCTGCTGAAAACACCAGAGGGTGGAGATAAGTGAGGGCCGAGCAAACTTGCAGCCTTATTTCTCTGGTGCGCTCAAAAGATGTGGAAATGGGGAAAGAATCCTGATGTCGGCCTCAGGGGAACCGTTGATTTGATGGTACAGCGAGCACATCAGTTCAAAATGCGTCCCGAAATTCCAGAGCGGTGTAAAAATCCTGGAGAGAGAGCTGGCTTTGCAGCGTAGGTGGTTCGCGTGCTGCCGGGAAGTTTTGAACAGTTTAAACTGGTGCAGTTCTGCAGCGAAGCTGTTGGGCGGACTCATGCCTCGGAATCCCACCTGTTCTCTGTTTGCTTTTGGGCACCATTTCAAACCCACACTGGAAAAAGTTTATAGGCAAACATTATAAAATGTGACAGTCTTAAGTGCTGCTACATTCTAGTCTGGCAACACAAAGGCTTACCTGAAATAACTCACGGTTTCCAAACATGACTTCATTATTTCGTGACAACACTTTGTGCTGGATCTTCCTTGATACTCTAGAGAGAAAGAAATGGAGGAGGAGAATATTTCCCAATCACTAATACCTATCTGAAACTTGTTTTTCCTTCAGTATACAAGTAATTTTCCTTGTGAAAGGAGTTTTTGTAATTTTGAAATAAATTACTGCTCTTGAGTTTGGATTTGGATTTGTGTTGAAAGACTCAGTGTAAATTTGGGGATAGTAGTTTAAAAAGAGGTGAAATCAAGAATGGGAGGTAGGAAATAATTTTCCTTGTAGTTGTATGTGAGGAACCGATCAGCCCAGGAGGACGCTGCAACTTCTGTGACCATCCTGCGAGTTCCCTGGGGCTCTTCAGCGAGAGCCACTCATGCACTTAAATGAGGGTTGAGTTATCGTCACCCATGGTGGCTTTTAGAAAGTTTAAACAAAGACATTTTTAGACTCCAGTACATTGCTGGCACAGTGTGAACACTGTAAAAGAAATTTTCTTTGCAGGTAGAGCATTACAAAGACGACTTAAAAACTTCAAAGTAAATTAGCTAGCTGGCTTCAGCTAGTTTTTTTTTTTTAATTTGAGAGTGGATTCAGAATTAAAAAAAATCTCAAGCATACGCAAATATACTCATTATTGATATGAAATATACGTAGAAAGGAGCCCATGCCCCATGCTTCTTCTGGAAATTAGATTTCTAACAGCATTGCAGATCTGTCGATTCTTGACTGCGTCAGCAAGGCTGAATTAGTTTAGGAGAGGAGTATAAAGCTGTATTGTAGCTTGTCCTAGACTTTGAGATGGAACTTTGCACACTAGAAAGTTGAGACCTTGTTATAAAATCTAAATCCAAGAATCTTTACAGGCTCTGTAATTGGTCTTGTTTAGATGGTTTTATGTGTTTCTCCTGGCTGCCATCTTGGTGTGATGCATGTGTCAGATCTGTTGCTTGAAAAATCCATGTCTGCCCTAGGGGAAGAGCCAGGAGAAGCTTTGCTTGCTTCACAAGGGCACAGTCCTGGATCTGTTTTCCCTTTGCTGCAGGCAAACTCCCCCTGAACTCCCTGGAATCACATGATTCCAGGATGAGCGGGAGGAGAAATTGGGCACGCCATTTTCAAGCTCATCAGTATAACCTGATATTTAAATACATGAGTGTCCCACTGTGGTGGCCACTTCTGGTACTCACAGAATCATAGAACATCTCTAGTTAGAAAAGACCCACAAGGATCATCAAGGCCAACTCTTTGCTCCTCTCAGGGTGACCTAAAACTGAACTGCTGACAGAACTTCAGCGTTTCCAGACTCCCGTCCATGGGCTAGCTCAGATGGGATGCTTGTTTTGGAATTCTCTGTTGAAAGTGCGATACAAGAAATGACAATACCGTGCCCCAAGGGCGAGGAACACGCGTTTCAGGGTTTCGATATTCTTAGAAGCAAGGGTGGACACCGAGGTGTCGCCTATTTTAATATTCCCTCGGACTCCCAGACAAACAGAGAGAGGTGTGTGTTTTATTGATGCGTGCACACAGTGGTGCACAGCTGGTGCCCGCTCAGGGAAGGATGTGTGCCGGGGAGCAGCTGTCTGTGCGACGTGACCCTCCTTGCAGAAGACGCCTTCACGCTGCTTTCCTTTATTTACTTTCCATGCCGTCCTTGGTGAAGCCAAGAGTCTGGTGGGAGAGGGATGTTGTGGTTGCAGGGAGAAATCAGTTACAAAAGCAGTCCCTATATCTGGCACAGCCAGAGTGAATTGTAGGTGTGTGTGGGGTCCCTCCACCCTGTGCCTGTGGAGACGTCCCCAGTGCCCCGGGCTGCCATTCCCTCTCCCCTGCTGAGAGCCAGCCTTGGAAGGGGGTGATGAAGCCCCAGTAACTATAGGCAGATGTAGTTTTCCAATGATGTTTTGTCGGAAAAAGACTGTGGTTTGACATTCTTCTTGTTGGTTACAAAAGGGACCTGATGGATGAGCCGTTTTGTTTTGAACTTCTGTGTACGCTGTGACTTTGAAAGCTTTGCTTGTGTTCCAGGTTTCTGCTCTGTTCTGCTCAGGAGAGGCTGTGAAATAAGAAATAAAACAAAAAAAAGTCAAAGGAAAAAGTTACTGTCACTGGCAGCAGAGTTGGCAGTGTACAAGGCAAATGTAGAGACTTTGGGAAGGGTGCAGGGAGAAAAATAAAGGACATCCTATATGCTGTTTGTAGGAACTTGTGTTTACTAGCTTAGCTAGTGAAGGGGTTTTTTTGTTGTACTTTTCTTCCAACACAGGTCTTTTCAGGTTTCATTGTTGTGTTTTTTTGGTGTGGGTTTTTTTTTTGGTAAAAAAAAAACAACTTACTTTGTTTGACAACATTATAGACACAATGCTAAGATATTAAACTGGCTGTGGTTTTTGAACTCTTCCTGGCACCTCCAAATTCTTTGAAGCCCCCAGGTTGGCAGCACTCGTCTCTCCAGAGTTGACTCGCTGTGACCGGTGAGAAGGGTTGTGCTTTTGGGTGACACTTGGGACAAGGCACATGCCGAGACACCGATCGAAAGGGAATGAGCTTTGTTTGTGGTTAACATCTTGAAAATAAAGCCTATCCCATACCTGTGTATGGTTCAGTTTTACGAGACAGATCGCTGGGCTAATCTGGATGCAGCTTTTTTATTGAACATAATTTGATTTCTGTGGATGAAAGGGCCTTCATTGACTTTTGTTGGAAATTCTCTCCTTTCCCTTCTCTTTCTTCTTTTTCCTCCTTTCCTTCCACCTTCACAGAGCCGCCAACCAAATACCAAATCTCTCAGCCAGATGTATATTCAGCACTTCCAGGAGAACCGCTTGAGTTGCGCTGTCAATTGAAAGACGCCGTCATGATCAGTTGGACTAAGGATGGGGTCCCTTTGGGGCCCGACAATAGGACAGTGATTATTGGGGAGTACTTACAAATTAAGGATGCTACACCCAGAGATTCGGGCCTCTATGCTTGCACTGCTGTTAGGACCCTAGACAGTGATACCCTGTACTTCATTGTAAATGTTACAGGTGAGTGAGTTAAACATAGGTTTTTGCATGTAGAAGCTGTAAAATGTGATATAAAGACACATTATGATATAATGTGAAACAGTCCTCTCGGGCACAGCAAGTTGAGCTGAGTTCTGTAGTTATTTCAGATATTTTCCCCCTTGTCCTACCCTGAAACAGGCACAGTTTGTATATAGCCCTTTAACTTCATGGGATCTGTAGTGATTAACAGCTGCTGGATAGCCCTCTGTTTTATGCCACTATGACAGGATTAAATTATGCAGAGTCGCTGTGATGACGATAAAGCCAGTAAATTGAATACATATTTTTTTCACCCCTGCATCAGAAGGGGAAAAGAGGTGTCCTACATCCTTTAAGTTTAGAGTGATAAATCAGTCTGGAGACGCTCTGTTCTCAGCTGAATGTCTTTACAAAAAATAAAAATTGTAAGTGGAAAGAGATTTTTGGAGTTAACAAGCTTCCCTTGGAAACTCTAGCATTTCAGGATGTTTAGCTCTTTTTGTTACAATTTCATAGGAATAACACACATTTTGTGGCTGGATTTTCTTTTTCTGTAGCTTCTGCACTACTAACATAACATCTGTTCTCCTTGAGAGTTAATCTAAGATGTAGCATATTCGTTTATTTGTCTGCAAAATAGGCTGGTTTAAAGACTTGATTATTTTTAATGTGCAGATGCTCTTTCTTCTGGGGATGATGAAGATGACAATGATGGGTCCGAGGACTTTGTGAATGACAGCAACCAGATGAGTAAGTAACAACGAACTGCCAGAAGTCACTAGCAAGATCCACGTGGAAAATAATGCCCCGTCTTTCGCACTCCTGCCTTCAGAGCTCCTTGATTGTTCACTGCATGGGCTGTCAAAGAGTGACATCTATGTCCTTTTCTGTTTTCTGTTTCACATACTTCATAACTTGGAAAACAAAAATAAACTAATAATCTTCTAAACACGCTTTACTGGTCTGTACTTTCTTTCTCCCTTCTTGCTAGCTCTTCTGCAGTTTCCTTTCTTCCCAAATTGAAGTTAGTCTTTGTCTGGTTGAGACTCTTACAGATGTACTAACTTTCCCTGAACCCGAGCTGAAATTTAACAGAAGAAACAAAGATCCAGCTCACTTTGTTAAAAGGCAGTATGGAAACTTTAAAAATAAAATTAAGTTGTAATGAGGCAAATCCTTCAATCCTTAATCTCGGCAGAAATCTCCCCAGGGAGAATGAATTTGGAGACAATGAGGTTCTTTTGTCTGCAAAGGACCTCAAGGTTTGCTGCAAAGAAAGCAGTCCAGCACTAAAACCACATTTTATGTTACTTATGCATGATGAAAATGGGCTGAAAGAGTCTTAAACCTATCTGAATGTTAAACTTCATCCCCTTTAGAGAATTTGGAAAGCTATTAATAGGCTCTAAATAGAGCAGTTGCTAAGAAAAAAAAAAAGTAAAGTTCATATTGGTTCCTTATGCCCCTATGCACTGTTGTAAATTCCCCACGGTGACTGCTAGTTTGCTGTCGCTCGTGCTTTGTAAAGTCAATAACGGGCAGAACACAGAAATCCTTCACGGGAGATGTCAGCCACTTACTGAATACAGTAGCCAGGTAGTAGATTTACTCCTCAGCCTGATTAGTAATTGGCAGCTGTACTGTATGCTCGAAACGCTTACTCAGATGAAAAAGTACGAGCCTGGTTTCAGCTCCCCTAGCTAGTTACTGTTGTATACGACTGCCCCTGGTCTGAAGCTGTGAAACATTAGATGCTGTTTAAAATGATAGAAGTTCTTAGCTGCCTGCTTGGCCCCTGCCATCTGTTAGTGTGATTAACCCGCTCTGATTCACAGGTGCAGCTTGAAGGGGCTGAGATTAAGCAGCTGGAGGCTGCGCTGACAAAGGAATGTGGTGGCAAAGATAATTGGTGACTTTGGAAAAGGGACACTGTTTTTAAAAGAAGTTGTCTAGGCAAAACCCACCAACTCAGGCAATGTTAGCGTTCCCCGGGGAAGGACTCGTGGGTAGAAATTCCTTTTGGGAAACATTGCTATGTCTTTTATCACTTTAGAACTTTATTGGTGTTGGTCAGAAAAGGGCTTGCAATATTTTTGGTGTGTTAGTGGAGACAATTGTACTTCTGATCTGTGCTGATGGCTTTGCTGATTCATTGTGAGCACAAATGGCTTCTAGAAGTGCCAATAGTGAGGAAAAAAGAGAAAAAGACCTAGTCTGAAGGCAACTAGGCTCTGTAACATCCTGGTAACGATTCCTGCCCCTTTGCACAATGGGGAGAACTACCCAGTGGTGTCCTCTGTAACGCTCACGACGTTCTTGTAACGGGAGCTATCACTTTCAGCTACTGTTCATCAATCTTGATTCAGGAGCCGGTGAAAGGTCATTGACGGTTTCCGTCTGCCAGGGGTGGGGTGTGTGCTTCAGCCGGGGTCGGGCACACTTTCCCCACTCAGAACGGAAGATGCCTCTGGAGTGCAAACTTTTAAAGCTCTCGGGTGGCGGGGAAAGCGCAAGCTCTCGCGGTGTAGACGAGGGGGAAACTGCAAGAATGCAGATTGCTCCCGAGCCGAGCGTTGCACAACCAAGTCCTCATGAGATTGCTCTTGACAAGGTGCCCACAAACTGCTGGGGCTTCTTGCAAGCTGCAGGTGGGCGCAGGGAGAGTGGCAGCCTGCCTCCCAATGTTGGAGCGTGCGACGGCAGGAGCTGGAAGCAGCAGCGTGGCTGTGGCACCGCATCCCTTCGAGGAGTCTGTTTTCAATGAAAAATTGCATCATAGTAACTCAGTTGGATTAATACGACGTTGCTGAAAGAGCGTTGTGATTTGGCAAGATCAGGGCTGTGTGGAAGTTAGGGGTGGGACTTGGTGTGGTGCTTTTGCAAACCGCTGAAGCTTGTGTATCTAGCATCTGCTAAGCCTTCCCGTCAGCATTCCCCTTCTAGATTTTCTGTCACGTTCAAAAGGCCACATCTAATTTAAGATACTCTTTTGCAAGACAGACTGAAAGGTGAGTGAGGAGCAGAGGTGTGTGATGGTCAAATGCCCTTTGCCACCTCCTCCTGAGTGATGGTCAAATGCCCTTTGCCCCCTCCTCCGGCCTACGTTAGACAGAGGCTGGGGAACTCTAGGAGCTTGCCAGAGTCCCCAGTTGCTGCTCTTTAAGAGAAGAAGTCTTTAAGTGTTTCCTGAATCGTTGTTTGAGCTTTGCAGATCTAAAACAATTTAACTGATAATTTACATAGATATTACATCTGCGATTATTAAGGATAAGCAATGGAAATTGGCCTGGTTATGCCTTTGCTGATGGAAACAAAAGGCCATAGTCTTCAAAGGTTGTTGCTTTTTGATGAAACGATTCTGATAAAGTCCAGCTGTCCTGGCATGTTAATTATGATGTGATGAGGCAGGAAGTGGCTGTAGTGCCTTCCACAGGAAACTGAACCTTCCCGTTCTCATTCCTGCGTATTGAAAACTAAAGCAAACCTTTTAGGACTGTTTTATTTACTATGGTAAGTATACTTCTCAGCTTTTTTATTTTCGTTGCCTCTGTCACAGATAGGTTTTTCAGAGGCCAAGGTTTTCAAATGACAGCAGAGAGGCTGTTGAGGAAACCTAACGTAATTTTCAAGGCTGCCCAGAAAATACAACTGCTCTTGACGTCAGCGGAGGCCGTAAGTGGCTCAGTAGCTGTGAGGAGCAACTCGTCCTCGGGAGAGGCGAGCACTCGTGTGTACACAGGTACATTTGACCATTTGCCCTGTGTGTACTTCTAAGTAAAAGGCATGCATAGCAGATTTCACTCTGCGTTTGGTGTCCTTTTAGCTTGACAGATATTTTAACGGTCTGAAAAAACCCCATGGTAGATTTGTTCCAGACTGCATCCTGAATAGCTTTTTATTACTTCCAGCTTTTGTTGAAGGGATTAGTGCTTGTGGGGAAGGTGCAGGATTGGTTCCACTGCAAAACAGTCCTCTCTTTCCACTAAATGGCTTTTGTTGGCAACTCAGTTTTTCCCTTTGTTGCCCTAGAGAGGTGCCTTAGCTTGGTTCTGGAGGGTCACCTCTAAGGATGTTGACCTGGGGCTTCCTTTTTACAAAGCTAAGGGCTGATCATCTTCAGTTCCTGCTGGCTGCAGCGGAGAGCATTGTTGGCACTTCTTGCCTGTCTTCATCATAATTTTGAGCTTTATCTTAATTTAAGGGATTTCTATAATCCTGGCTTGGTGCTGGCAAGGCAGCAGCTGTCGTGATGGTTCCGCTGAGGTCCACCAACAGCAATTCGTTCTGGAGACCCCTGGGTAGCCCTGAGGACAATGCTATGCTGCCTTGAATTCTAGTCAGGCGACTGGAAGCTTTATGACTTATTTTCCTTATCACCCTTTAAACAATTTCTTCTGGGCCAAGTAGTGGTAAATTGGCACCAAGAACAAAAAGTATCTAAATGTAATCCACATGCTGTTCTTTTCATGCCTTGAAGAATTTCAGAGAGGATGAAACAAGGTTCAAATTCATCAAATCCTGTAGAGTGGAAACCCACTCAAGGGAGCAGCAAAAATTGGATGTTGCCTAGAAGTGTTTTTTAATTAAAGGTCAAATACAATAGTAGTAAAAACCTTGAGGGGTTTGATGTGGTCATTTCAGGCACACTATTGCCTGCTCAAGGTGCTTGTCAGGCAGGTTTGGAGTTGACTACTTTTGTGTTCCTTTGTATTAGATAAGTCCAAATAAAAATCGAGGAGTCCTGAAGTGAAGTGGTCCCCTGGGCTGCCTAATTTCAATTTCACATGCAGGAGATCTGCCTGATTAGATGTAATGTATTTGCACTGGAGTGCAGTGTGGGTCAGCAGGATATTTTCTTCACTAATGAGAGCTCTAAAAGCAATCAGGAATTCCCACCCGTTCCCCTGCTGCTCGTTACCGCTACGTGCCGGGGTCTGCCCTGTGCTTACTGTGAACTTCTAACAGCGGTGCTACCTACTTCCACTCGTCCTCGTAGCAAAGATGGGATGCGGTGGACACGATCCATGAGAGGAGTCGGGACTTCATGGTATATACGCATGAACTACGTTCATTATTGGCTTTAGTGAGTCTGGATGTTCTTCCTCTCGGGACAAACAGAAGCAGTATAAGTTGCTTTCAGGTTATGATAATTTAATCTACAAAGAGCAATGCTGTGTGTTAATCAGACCAGTGGCTGTAAGAAAGCACAAAATGAGGGTGTGCGTTACGGTTTGTGGATGTTGCTGCCTTTTTCTCTGTTCCCTTAAACATACCGAGAAGCTGCCCACATACATTGCTACTACCTAGTGAAAAACAGTAGGATGTCTCCAAGCATTTGCAGATGGCATTTTCAATATGTGATGTCCGCATGTTTTTCTCCAAGTTCCCCTGTAATTCTGGAGCATTGCAGGTTATGCTGATGTGAGGGTCATGCCAGAGGAAGCTTTCCAAGCAGAGCCCTTTCTCCCAGCCCGAGGAGTTTCCTTTCCCTCCTCTCTCCATGGCACAGAACTGAGCTGCTTCTTCTCGTTCCTACCTGCACCCTCCCACCTCTTCCCTAGAACAGTTTTTCCTCCCTGTGCGTTCGTTGTTTACGAGGCTTATCGGAGCACTTCTTTTGCAGAAGCAGAGTGTTTTAAAGAATGAAGGTTGATGGAAAGGGAGGTTATGCAAGAAAACCAGAAGATGAGCTGCCCTGTCATGCAGTACAGGCTGGTAGCTGATCAGAAACTTGGCTGCACAAAGCAGCTTTGTCTGGGGAACTGGTGGTGAACAAATCCTGACCAAGTGGATGTCCTGGTCCCGGGCTGCGCCCTGATGGGAGCTTCTCTGGAGCTTGGTCTGTCCCACCTGGCGAGCTGTGGAGCCTGTGGTTCAGAGGTTGTGCTTGCTAGTGGGTGCTTCCAGGCTTTTTGTGCTCTATAGGTGTGAGGAGATGCATGTGGTGGACATGATGAAAACCAACCACAGTGGCTGCAGAGTTGCTGGGTTGGTGTTGCTGCCCGTCTGGAGTCAAATGTGGGCACTCCGCTCTGTTTGACATGCCAGTATAACTGGTTTGGATGGTTGATTGGCTTAAACCTGCCAGTGTACTTTGACTTTGTGGGGATTGTGGGTAGAGCCCAGCAGTGGTCACCTTACATTGCCTTGTGGAAGATGTTTAGCTGTCCAGAGAAAATATCTGTTTAATGTATCAGTACCAACATATAATTCCGCCTTTGCCTGGTATACTTGTAATGTAATTTGGTCTTTGTGTGTAGTAGTTGATTCCTTTGGTTGGCTTTATTTCAAGTCTGAAGTTGTTTTAATGTGATTCTGGTTTTAGCAAACAATGTTAACAGTGATTTTCCTTGCATCCCTAATTCGCTTTAGTCCGTGCAACAATTTCTTAGTGTTGCAGTTAAATTTTTGATAGTTAACCTGATTTTCTAGTTCGATTACATGCACAAATTTGCTTTACTTTTCTACTTCATTAATTTTAACACTGATTACCACTTTGGGGAAAAAAAAAATCACTTATCGTTCTTAGCATCATTATAAGCCTTGCTTTTGGAATGTTTACTTTATACTGAGAGAGACGTTGTTAAAGGATTTTTTCCTGTATTTTCTATCCAGCTGTATTTTTATTTAGGGAGGGGGGTAGCAAGATTTCTGACTTTGCACTGATTGTAAGAACTGCTATAAATATTTGAGGAATGGAAGAGTTTATTTATAGTGGAGTGTTAGGCTGCTAATGAAGGAAATGAAACAGGGCTGTGAGAAACAGAGTTATTTTTCTGGACCCCTATAGTCCTAAAAATTCCACCCTAATCTGATTTGCTTCAGGAAAACTCCATTGTAAAAAAAATTAATGTTTCCTACCATTAAACAGATCTTGAATCTTTAACTTTTTAAAAACTGTTGTGGTGAGGCAACTGAGGCGACGTCACGAAGACGCTGCATAATGTAGCCAAAGGGGTGCACAGATCCAGAGCACGGGATAACCTTGTGTATGGATCTGTCTTTCCAAATTTACTTCTTGGAGGGTAAAACCAGGCGGGTAGTTGTATGTTTTCTTGTGCTGGGTTTCGTGTACTGGTATGTAACAAATGATGGAGGACCTGGAGGAGAGAGGGGTTTTCTATGCGCTTCTCATGCTCCTCATGTGGGCACAGATCGGGCACAGCAAGGAGCGAGTGGAGCCAGGAAAGCCTTGCCACGAGCTGGTAGCAGTGGTCAAGTCATTAAATACGGACTGAGAGAGACACTCTCATTTTGTGCCACGGTGTTGGACATCACTGAACATTTGGGCTCCACCAGGCTCATGAGAGAGAGCAATCCTTGCAAAATGATGAATGCTAGTACTGGGTTTTGCTGATCCACATTTACTCATTTGGTATATTCCTCGTTGGTTAAGATTTCAGAAGTATACTCCATTTGCAGATATATTTTAGTAGTTTCTATGACACTAACAGCACAGTTCACCTCGCCATCGTACACTAAGTTTTAGTGTGCTGCCAGACAGGTAGGTCTGTTTATCCCCCTTCTAACAGATGGGGAAGGGTTAAGGCTGAGACTTCCAACAGGTCTTCTGGCTTGGTCTGTCTGGCCTCACAGCCGAAGTCCAAGGATTCAAAGTTTGCTGAGCACTCACAGGAACTCAACTTGAAGGCAAAAGCGTCTGATCATTTGAGTCTGCTGAAAACTCGGTCCCTCTGTCTTACTTGATGTGCATAAAACAAAGGATATGTGTGGTTAATTATTGGAATTTTGTCATAAATTATACACTCAAAGCTGCAGAGTGAGTTGTTTGCAAAACTCTGGTCAACACCTGCGATATACGATTTCCAGTCTTACTCTTTCTGAACCATGCTTAAAATGAATACGTGCGGCGTGTTATGTCTGTGGAAGGGACTGGAAAGGGAGCTTGGTGTCCGAGTACTGATATTTCTGGATGTACCTCTTTGAAACAGGGGCACCTTATTGGACACATACGGACAAAATGGAGAAAAGGCTACACGCAGTGCCAGCAGCCAACACCGTCAAGTTCCGTTGTCCGGCGATGGGAAACCCAACACCGACCATGCGATGGCTGAAGAATTAAAAAAAACCCCCAAAACTTGTTGAAGTCAACAGAAAATCTTTTAATGTCCTTGGTTCAAATGTAGAAGCCAAAAAAGGAACGGTTTTCTTCTGGGGAAGGGTGGGTGGTTTCTTTGGGAATTACTGAGTGCTAATTCTATATTTTTTTTTTCCTCCAAATTCAAGCTTGTAGCATAGCAGAGCAGCTAAGGATTATTTTTAGAGATTTATTTGGAAAACTAAAGACTGACTTTGCAAAGTGGTGTGAGACTATTTTGCTCTATTAATTTTCAGCTGCATTGTTAAAAATGTGACCATCCACTCTGATGACTGTAGGCTGTTTAATAAAAGAAGGGTCGGAAGCCAAAAGTTATTATTTTCTGTAGAGTTTATGGTCTGTGAAAATGAAATGGGAAGCAGAATTTGAGGGAAAGTAACAGCAATTACTTACAGGGGTTAGTATGAATTTTAAACAGCTTCAGATTAGATGTTTCTTTCTAAATCGGTGGTTACTGATTAAGAGAGAGTTTTAGGGAGGCCAGCTAGCTCGGTGGGGTAGTGCACGGACCTTTAACCTCTGGTATCTGCCTAGGGCAGGTCAGAAGTCAGGATTCGGTCGTCTTATCCTGCTCCTCACAGGGCATGGGAGCGTGTGGCTTTGGTGGCACGCTGCTGTTCAAGCACTGCCCTTGCCACCCTGCTCTGCGTTTTGGAGTTACCTTCACCTCTCCGCAGACCTGCTGTCGGTGATTCCCTCACCCACCCGGCACCGCAGCAGCTTCTCTCCAAAGATGAGAAGTTTCCGAGTTAGTCACCTTGTGTCACGGGTGTAAGCCCCAGCCTAGAGGGTCTGCTGAGGAGCTCAGAACAATTTGTAATGGTAATTAAGACAGAAGTTAACTGACTTCTCCAGACGGCACAGTAAGCTGAAGAGCAAGTCCTGGGGGCTCCGTATTGCGCCACTGCCTTCCCCCAGCGATTGCTGTATTTTTGGGGTGCCGTGTTTTGCCATGCCCTGATGGAGCCAGGGTGTACATTGCTTCGTGTGCTGTTGACTCAGATCCTGCTTCGTACAAAAAAAATATATATTTTCCAGTGCAGAGGAGGATAAGTGGTAGTCTCCTTTCCTCTCTAGCTAGATTTACTGTAGAAAGTGTCAATTTTTCCAACACTTGTGTTAGCAGAGAGTGAAGCCCAGAAAGTCTCCCTGCATGAACGCTAATTATCTAAGTAGACTTTTCCATCTATGTTTACTTACACCATAAATTACTGTTGCTTATGAGTGTACACCTGGCAACACCTTCTGCCTTTCATAACGCTATGGAGTGTTAATGAATTGGCTGCAATTCAGTGATTTTCACCTTTCTCAGTGCTTTTTAAAAAAAAACCAAAAAAGCCAATTTAAAAAAAAAAGCCCAGCAAACTAATCCTGTCTTGGAAAATGACAGTAACTGTTTCAGTAGCAACTGAGATTTTATTTGAACACCTTACATCTTGTGAAGGGGAAATGCAGAGATCAGTCTTGAAAATGGTGAAGGAAAATGTGTGTCTTGCAAGGTGGGATGGAGACACTTGATCTCTGGTTTGGGAGGGTGATTTTTGGCGGAGTAAATCAGCCCCAAATTGTAGAGCTCCGTCCTGCCACTGCCTCACTGTGTTGGGGATCTGGGTGAGCTCATCTAGACTTGTGCCCGTTAAGTGGCACAAATGAAATTTTTGCTCGTGTGTATTAAACGTATACAATTTCCTAGGTATGTGTGTACTCTGGGAAGAAACCACAGACGCCTGTTTCTAAAACCAGCTGGAGAAGTGAAGTGTATACATATAATTCTAAATCATAACTTCTCACGTCTCTCTGGTCTAAAGACGAAAAACTGGGGCCACAGCTGTGGATTTTAGACTTTACTGTTACTTAGAAATACACCAAATTTTAGATGACCTGGTAGCATTTACTTATCACTATCATTCTGCTTACCAAATCTATGCATATTCTAGATTCTGTCGGTGTTTTAAGATGGAAGCTTGTTTTCAGTGTATGGGTGTTCAAGAATGAGGCTTCCAGAGCTTCTGGAGGCTGTGTCCTCTTCTTGTTAGAGGAATAGGGTGAGGTCAGTGTGGGCTTATTCAAAATTATTCCGGAATAAAGAGAGAATTGTATTTTCTTGACACCTCTATACTGACAATCTTGTAATGAAGGAATCCTCTGGAAGGACTGAGTCTTTCCATGTTGGTCTGTGTTCAGCCAGATATCACAGCAACTCGTGATAATCCTTGTACGCTAGCTTGTCTTTAATCTGGTGTTGCTATACATAAAGCATTTCTGTTAGAGAGCTTCATATTTATGACAGTTTAAGTGACTAGAATAGCTGGAACCAAACATGGCCCTATCTGCCATCACCAGTTGATGTAACACTATCTGTCCCTTTTGGAAGAGGCAATTGTCCCTTGAAGACTTTAAGAAGGAAAAGGAAAGGAAGCAAGATGTGAAGCTTTCCAGTAATCCTCCAGCCGCCTCTCTCCTGCTGCCTTGAGCTAAGAAATCTCTTCTTTGTATTCTCTTTGTCGCAATCAGATAGTGACCTGAGGCACTTTGTCCCTCTGAGTGGAGAATGTCTTAAGTCAATTTGCACTCAAGCAGGCTAGCAGAAGGGTGTATGTGCTGGCCAAGATAGCTTCCAGAGAAAAATTCCTCCACCGTGACTAATTCTGAGTGGTGAATTTCAAAATCAAACACTGATAATTTTCTAAGGTATGCGCAAAGTTCCTACAGCAAGGAGAAAGGTATCAGTTATTGAATGTTTGAGTCCTTTTTAGTCTTTTTTGTCTGTCTCTAAAGCGATGATAGCTCTTGCTTTAAAGGCATTTTGTAATTTCTTTGAGTGAATAATCTAAATCCTCTATGAGACACCACAAAAGCTTTTACTTTTCTGTACACCACCCGGAAAGCAAATGTACTTCTGTCAGTTGTTAGCATTTAACAGGTGTGTGTTTTCACACATGCATTTTGATAAGCTTCATCACTACAGTCATCTTGTATACATTTAAATTCAGCTAGGTAAATACCGAGTAAAGAAAGTTCTGACTCTGTGGGAACTGTAAAAGTCTATGGCTTTTGCGTGCATGTTCTGCACTTGTTCTCTCTGCCTGCACCGCACCAGTATGTGTCTGAATTGTGCCGATTTTGTGGGGTATCATATTTTGGGTTCTAATCCTTCTTTCTTTTGAAATTCATTTAAAATTGACCTGTTTTTACCATTTTTTGTGAAGTGACAACTTTTCATGATGTATCTGTTCACTGAAGACATGTATTTTGAACAGAACTGTCCACCATTTCTTATATGATACTCCAAAAGCAAAACGTTGCTATGAAAGATTCCTTGCCCTTTCCTATAGTTGTGACCAATGCTTCTTGGCATTTTGATTCCAGTTTAGGTTTCCCACCTTCAAGCTATATCTTAAGGGTACAGTTGTATGAATTTGATACTGACAATTTAGCTTAAAAATAGAATTGTTTGGACACACTGTTTGGAAGAATTGGTTAAAAATTTGATGGCCAAAAACCCCACCTCAATAATTTGCTAGAAGTGTCCGTACCTGGTTGGGAAAATCCGTATTGAGATTATATTTACTATCTCAATAAAGTACCATTTTTGGATATGAAGCACAGATGATACATGAAAATAGGTATTGCAAAGCAATTAAAAAAAATAAAGAGGGGAAAAGCAGTTATTAAACTGTGTCAACAAAGTATCTGCAATGACAAGTTGGAAGGGATATGCTGAAGACCAGCTGATGGAGTTGGTGGGACTGTGTGGGCATTCTCCAGGATTTTGAAAGGACTCAATACGAAGTAGGGCTTCAGGGAACAGACTAGTAGAAATAACAGGATAATAGCTGTCAAGAAGCTACTCAGGTTGGAGAACTGGAAGGGTTTCCTACAACTAATGAATTTCTGGCAGTGGTCACTCATCCTGTTCTGGACCCTGTATGCCAGGTGAGGATGTTCCCGCTTTCAGCACCTTGTTGCCACCCTCGTGTTTTTTCCTAGTGGATTAGTTCACATGACCTCCCTTATATGTTCTGTCTGCCAGATGAGCTCAAGTCACCCATGTAAACAGCTTAAATGGACCCAGCTGATACTACCCAGGGGAACTTATTAGGGAGTATTTGGAGAGCTGTAGGACTGGTGTCTTAGGTTAGAAGAGCCCAAGTGAGCAGCCGGGAGGGAGCTAATGGCTTTAACCTGCATTGCCAAAGAGACTGTCTGTTTGCAACTTCAGTCACAAAGGTGGCGTGGGTTTTTCTTGTTTGGTTTGTTGTTTTTCCTGCAAAAATGAATGTCACTTGTAGTTTATCCATGAGCAGAAAGCTGGTGTAAGACCTGTGTGCTGTGGAAGCACTGCTTTGAACTTCTTCTGAAAATTAACCTTTAAATAGAATCATGGGATGGATTGGGTTGGGAGGGACCTTTGAAGGTCATCTAGCCCAACCCCGCAGCCGTGACCAGGGACGTCTTCAACTGGATCAGGTTGCTCAGAGCCCCATCCAACCTGACCTTGAATGTTTCCAGGGATGGGGCATTGACCACCTATTTGGGCAGCCCGTTCCAACATAACTGGTGTGATGCTGGTGCTGGTTATCAGTCGTGCACCAGTTTTGCTGCCCAAAGACAGGCTTTTTTGGGACTACGTAGTGATGGTAGGTTAATGAAAAAAAAACACGTTAACAAAGCCTGTGCGGTCAGGGTGTTGTAAGCTGTGTGGTTGCAGGGACATGGCAGGACCGTAGCATGTCTGAGAGTCAAAGGTTCAATTTAGGAGTCTTCAGCAGAAGATGCTATCACCCCCAGCAAAGGGGAGACTTTCTGGGCTTTGCAGTGCTGCACTTGTAACCAGAAAGCACTAAGCTAGCAAGCTGAATCTGGTTGGATCCAGATCCATGACATAAATCCAGTTTCTTGACGATGTGTCAGAAATGCTTTGGGCCTCTACAGAAGTTGTTTAGCTTAAACTGAGGAGGCTTAAGCTGTTGTGGTATTATATTGTCTCCTCTCACTGGAGTTACAAGAAGGGAAATTGCACAAATACTTTTTAATATTGCCATCCAGTATATCCACTTGTAGCTGCAAGTTAGTTATGTTTTCTTACTGAATACTAAAAAATTTCTTGTGTTTTCCTATCATATTAATTACTTACTGCCTGCTATGAATTTTTATTTTGTTTGAACTGTCACAGAACCATGATCTGTTCTTCTTGTTTTGCAGTCAAATTGATTAAAAACACTTGCTCTGATTCTGAGGATTGTGATGTAACTTGTAAAGGCAAAAAGTTCGGGTCACTTTACCAAACCTCCCTCAAAATAACACATAAAGAAGTAAAATATTCAAAATATTTAGCTGTTATATTTGTTATTTACTAATGGTTTATGACAGTAATTCTTCCTGATCAAAACTTTGATTTTGGTTTGCAAGGTTGCTTGGCAGAATAATGAAGTAATAAAACAACACAGATGAACTCTTTCTAGCTTTACAAACTTATTTCTTAGCTCTTCATAGTGTGAAAAAAAAAATTAGTATATAGTTTTGAAGTACATCATCAGGAGAGGGGGTTGGGGAGAGGAGCTGTAAGTGTGGGCTGGAGATTTTGAGGTCGTGCCACACAGTTCTGTGACAGTAGGTTAGCATCCATGTGCTTCACCTGCTGCTGGCGTCTCATCTACGTTTTCTTTGTTATTCAAAGCCCACAGGGCCAGTCATCAGCTAATAGTATTAGCCCATAACTGGACAATAACAGTAATATCTAGCTAATGACTAGCTGGGGGACTAGGAATGCCAGGAGCCCCTTAGGGAGGACTTTTTTCTTCCCGGCTTTGAACTGAAGGCTTTTTTACCTCCAGCCAGTGTGAGGGCTGAGCTCTTGGCACCGAGAACACAGCCCCACGTGGCCTTTTCCTGCTGGATAAGAACCCACACAACAGTCAGGCACGAAGCAGGATTTCAGACCTGTAGTTGTAATGAACTTCTAAGAACGTATAGTTACTGGAAGTGTCACTGAATGGTCCATAAATTTTTCTGGTGTACTGCACTGAGTTACTACTTTCCATTTTGGCTGATTAAAATGACTCTACCAGATTGTATTTTATTCCATTTACTAAAATATGTCCTTTGCAGTTTCAAAGTTGTACATTACAGCTACATAATGTTAAGATTCTTGAGCACTTTGTCAAAAATGTCATGCTAAAACAAGGAATTAGTGGATAGCCAGCAAAAGGGCATTTTGGGAGCCAACTTATGATGCAGGAAATATATATATATCTGTATACCGGATGACTCTGTATCCTTCCAGCATTGGGCTGGATCCTATTTTCTGCAAGACCAATGCCAGCGCTCCTTTTGAGTTCAAATGGGAACAGAATCAGCACCTTTAATACATTCTGTCCGAGAAGGATTATATTGAAAAAATGTATATCCTTCTGCTCTGTTTCCATGAGGATTTTTTTCTTCAGGCATTTTTCCTGAGGCAACATCTCCATTTCTTTCTTGCGGTACCACAGAGCAGCAAGAGATGTGGCCACCCTGTGTTTTCTGCGGGAGGGATCCCAAACACTGCCCTTCTTTTCTTTATTTCTCAAAAATGTGGGCTGTGTAACTGAGCTGTTAGAGAAAAGCAGAGACTTGGATGGCGGGGGATCATATTCGTCCCATATTGCTGGTGGGGAGTTAATATTGTCAGATGACTGCTTGGAGAGAGATGGGAAATGGCCTGAGGGTGTGAATTCGCTTTGGAGTGGATTGAGAGGTAAAGCCCAGTAAGGCAACAGTTGCCAGTTGGTGCCATCCTCGTTAGCCTGGTAGGACTGAGTGTGCACCGACGTCTGCAGCGCTCGGATCGGGGATGAGGTAAATCTATAGCAGAATGCGTGAAAGCTTTCATTGCTGCAGCCGTGCTGTACCGGATCAGGCATAAACGAAGTATTTCAGTGTCCAGAACTGTCAAACGAGCACAGAAGAGGCTTTTAAATGTGGATTGCAAAGGGTTAACTCTTCAGAAAACAGTACTTTTAAAGGGGGAGGGGGTGAAACTGTGCTAGTGAAGTCCCCAACCTCTCTGGTTACAACCCGCCAGGTCCGCAACCAGCACTGGAGTCTCATCATGGAGAGCGTGGTCCCGTCTGACAAAGGAAATTATACGTGCATAGTGGAAAACCAGTACGGATCCATCAATCACACGTACCATCTCGATGTGGTCGGTAAGTACAGCTCTGTCACGTGTAAGAGAATGTTTTTAGTTAATTTTTCTCGGTTAAAACATTTTGAACTAAGCTGGTATATTTTGCATTAATTTTGAGTTGATTTCACAGCAGTCTAGAAGTACCATTTCACTGCATAACCAGTTGCTATGTAACTTTGTATATTCATCTGTCTCACTCGTGTCTGTAGGACTCACCTACCCATACCTTGGCAAAGGTGTACTGCCCATGTGTGTGAGTGAGTTCGTGTTGCTGTGATACACCTACAAGCTTACAGTGAAGAACAAATAATGAATGCTGATGCAATTTTAATCATTAGTATTACAATTTAATTATTACTTGTATGACTGTACTAACACAGATTTTAATAACTGCAGTTATGAAAACTGTTAAGTGATCCTTTACATTGCTGTTATAGCTGAAACAATTTTTTTTGAAAATGAAAAGCTAGGTATTGACTTTGGTGAAGCTAGTGCAGATCTGGAGCTTCAGGAAAAGGTACTTTGCATTCACAGCAGTATAAGAGAGATCTGATGGTAACCTGTTGCATGGGCTATGAAGAGTCTCTGAAACATAGGCGACAAAAATTTTGAAGAAATTGTTTTACTTGAGGACAAATTCTGAGTAATTATCTGCATTCTTAGTAGTAGCAAAACTGTGATTTAGCAGGACTATTAAGCACATGCTTAGTAATATTAACGTAATAATACCGAAAAACTGTTGACTTTAATAAGGCTTATGCATATTTATTTAAGTGCTTAGGTAAAGTAGGGCTTGAAATCTCAGGAACCAATTCCGTTCACCTCTGCTCTTGCTGATGAGCCTGGATGGGTGTGAGCAGTTTTGTTGACTCTGAAGGCATTGCTGTCCAAAAGTAATTAGTTTGGCTGTGATAATAGGACCTGTTGGTAGTGTATTTGGGGGTCTGAGCTGTGGTTCTTGAAGTGTGCCTTGAATGGGCTTTGCTCTCTCCGGGCTTATGGGATGATCTGAGCGTCACAAGCTCTGTGGATAAAACTTCTGATGAATCAGTATTGAAAGCAGAAATTAATTTGATTATTGCAAGCTATTTTTGACTGGTGACTGATGACAGCCCAGTTTATCTTCTGTAGAGAATCTTACCGTGAGTTTGGGTTTATATGACCAAAACAGTGACAAAATTTTCATTTCTGAATTCCTTGATTGGTTTTTAAGTGAATAAAAATGCATCCCTCACATTGTTTTGGATGGACTTTAAAAGTAGCATCTTATTTTATCTGAGACTTCTTTTGGATCTGGGGATTTCCACAGATTTAAGTAAACAAGTGCCAGTTTCTCAGGCAGCAAGTGATGAAAACATTCCCCATGCAAATGCCAGTGAGAGCTAGCCTTCATGGAGCAGAAGAGGAAAAAGATGATTTTGTGATGGCGATGCCATCAGACTGAAGCCCCACCACCAGCTCCTGCATGTTTAAGTCTTCAAAGCCAATCTGTGAGCCACCCAACTCACCTATACTTGGTTTTAAGTAGTCAGCACTGAAAACAGTGAGGATTTTTACAGCCCTGGCAACATTTCTTGTTGTACTTGGGTAGAGTGAGCTATGGGTATTGTGGAGGTGAACCAAGTGACTGGCAAAGCCATTTTTGTTTGAACACTTGTTTAAACAATGTTTATGGAGGGTGCAGCAACAACGGCTGCCAGAGATGGTAGTAAATTGTGTTCTGTGTGCCTTGGTCCTCTGCTGACCACCTTGCTGGAGGGTGCAGGCTGCTTGCATAGGTTCATCAGGGACCAGGCTTGGTTTAAAGCCTGGCCTAGGGACTAAATAAGGGGATGACGAGTTGTGGGGTTGTTGGAGGTTTTCTTGGGCTTGGCTTTTTTTTTTCTTTTGTCTTTTAGGAATCGTAGATTGTCTCAAGTTTAGTTTTGCTTAAAAGTGTTTTAGTAGGCCACGTGAGAGGAAAAAGCCACTTTTGCAATATTGGGAGTTTTCCTTGCTGAAACAAAACTGGCTAAAAATTCCCCTTCCTTCTCTATCCCCTGCTCCTGTTCCTCATTACCGCCTCAGTCCTAATCTGGCATGTTTCATGTCGACCGTAAATTTCTTCACCCATTTTTTCTAAGAGGCATATTCATGGACGATGCGGTCACTTAAGCAAATATCTGTCAGAAGCCCTCTCACCTCCTCTCCCCCTTTGCGCCTTCTGAATGTCTTACATTGAGTAATATTATGCAGAAGTTTATTTTTCCTGGCAGTAAATTATAGTGACCTGCATGAATGAATGGAATGGTAATAAGGATTATGTCATTTATTTAAATGTCTATTCCTTTCCTATAGAGAGGCAGAAAAGTAAATAATGAGGTTTTTCAAAAATGACTAGTGATTTGGGGTGCTGGGTACCCAGCTGATGGCACCCAAAGGAGCCCTGATTTTCACTGGACAAATATTCAGCATTTTGTGATGCTCGGACCGTATGAGATAGCAAACCAGAGGTCCAAAAGTGACTTCTGCAAATCCCAGCCTGCATCTTGGAGTTCTGGGTACTTAATGATTTTACTTCCTTTAATTTGATGAATTAAAGGCTGTAATTGTTAGTTTACTTTGAAAACGTATGTATGGGAATGCACACCATAAGGTACCTGGTTGAATTTACTGTGACTCTTTCAAGAAATACTGCCCTGGGACTTTAACCTGAAAGGGGGATTGGTGTTGGAGAGCTCAGCCATTTCTGTGTTGCTGAAAGCTTGTAATAATCGTGGCGGCTGGGCATAGAATTGCTGAAGCAGTAAATTAAGGTTGGCCAGAAGGGGAAACTGACAGTTTTTCTAGTTAAGACAGTTCTACAGAAGTTAATTTTGTGCTTCTTTTTTTTATGTTTTCATATGAATTTTTGGTTCCCACAGGGTTGTGGAGAGTTATGGATGTTTGTTTAGAGGCAATTACATATGTAGACCGCATCTTACAAACTTCAGGTTGTAATTTTAGGTCAGGTTGTGTGTGGAAAACTGTCAGTTGAAAGCCTCTGATATTGCTTTTCCTACATGGTTTAACTGGTTCCAGAGTTGATTAAGTGTAAGTAACAGCAAATGGTATTAAACAGGGTAACGTATTACACTAACATGAGCATCTGACTATATGGTGTAATGTAGAGAACCCTCTGATTATGTCACAGATTTGGGAGGTATCCCAGCGGAAACCGTGCCAAATAATGACACAATGCTAGTTAGGAGTATCCAGTATTGCTTGATGCCAATAACTTTCCAAACCTTGAACTCTTTTGACAATTAAAAGCCTGGAGCCAGCAGGGCTGAGTAGTTTTCAGTCAGAATGTAGGTGTGAAGTATTCTCGTTTTTACCTTGTAATTACTTGCAAGAGCCCTCTTAAAATAGTCAACTCGGCTCAGATGGTCTCGTTCGAATTTAAAAACCTGGCAAAACTATTGCACTGAATTTTTTACAATGGGAGCAGAAAATACTGAAGAAAAAAGCTGCAAGTCGTTGGCAGCCCCTCTGTGTTGCACAGAATACTTGTGTGCATCGACAGTGCAAGCAGGGTATTGTCCAGTCCAGTTGACCAGGGAACTCTGTGTTGGGAAATGTTATTCTTTAATTGTTCGGGATACCCCAATCTACTGCCTTTTCCTCTGTCGTCCTCCTCCTCCGTTTCAAAGCAAAGACTCAAGCAGGCTGGACGCAAGGCTTTGCTCAGGGATGCGAATGTTTTGGACTGCAGCTGCAGCAAACGGTGGCGATACAGAACTCCGTTCGGATCCTGTGGAAGGGAGACAAGTCGCTCTTCGCTTTTTGCTGGAGCACTACCTAGAGCTTTCAATTAATATGGGATGCTTCTTGTCCAAGGCAGCGTGCCAGCGCACAGTAATTTCTTACAACTGAAATGCGGAGAGGCCAGGAGAAGGAAATGTCACTGTCCATTTTGTAGATGAAAAACAGAGCTGCAGAGCGATGAAATGTCTTGCCCTGGGTCACACAGGAAGCTGGTGGCAGAGCCAAAAAGTAAAGCTGGTACTTGAATCCTAATCCAGTACCTTAATTAAAAGAATGTTCTTTCCCTTGTACAGTTTAGCGCATCAGCTGGTTTTTTACATGCAGTTGAAGTGCCTTTCCATTCTTTTGTATTAAACAGTAGGTAGAAACTCGCATTTTTATAGTAAGCTTACTAATAGACTAACTCTATTCTCATTAACCATATATAAAGTCACGCAGTCTTAAGGGAGAATGAATGAAAATGATGTGGTTTTCACTTATGAGTTGTATTGCAGTGAATCCGGGTTGTGGGAAGCAACGTGGGAACGCAGCCACTGAGACTTGTATATAATTAGATCACTCTTGGATTGCAATTATCGCTGGAGTAAAACTTCAGCAGCGGCAGTTCTGTTTAAACATGGAAGTAACTAATTGAATTTATATTTTAATGGGGGGGGAAAAAAAAAGGTTAGTCTTTTAACAATGTTAGTGCAGGTAGCCATTTCTGTCCTATTTAATGCCATCATCCAGGGAAACAGAAGATGGTTTGGTTTCCGATGGAGTTCGGCACATTACCTCATTTACTGTGTTTTATAAGCAGCTGCTGTAGCACAACACGTCTTCCAAGAATGTATAAGAAGATCCTGCTGTTTACCATAAAAATGAACATAACTTGTCACAAGTTGTCACATTTTTTTAAAAAATGCCCTTTTGCAGACAGCTTTGCTGTACTTTGACCAGTTTCCAATTTGCCTGATAGCCGTGGCTTCAGCTCTTGTTACCCAGGAGTGAACTCCGGAGGTGGCAGAGTACCACGCAGTTCTCCCTCAACAGTAATTCGTATTTTTATATGAAAACAGTGTGAGAATAACTTCTCATCCAGGAAGCATTTTAAATAACTCTCAGTTTAAAGCTTGTGCCCCAGAAATCTCATGTATGAGTGATTTTACTGATGAGTGTGCAGAAGAATGCTTTTATTCTGAGCTCTTGAAGGTTTTAGAGGGCTTCAGGATGAATTTCACTCTTGTTTTTTTA